GAAAAACAAAATGAATAAAAATATAAAAGAATAAATAAAAAAATCCTAACATTCAACAAAAAAACAACAATCATGTATTAATTGATAAACACTGTGAGTGTACATATAATTTGTTATATATTTTGCTGGTTTATTTATTTCTATAAAATACAGTTCTTATAAGCACTTTAATTACGACTAACAACAAGACTTCATAAGTTTTCTAAGTCAGCGAAAAATAACATTTTTATTTCATCTTAATTTTTTCGCATTGCAAAACATTAATATTTTATATAAAAACAAAATGCTGCAAGTATACTTCAATAAACTATATAATTCCTTAAACGATGTAGCTTACATACATACATCAAATAAATACATACAATAATTCAACTTTTGTTTAATATTTGCTGAGTTTTTTCAGTTTTGAGCACTTTTCTAAACATTTAATGCTATTGCAAAAACAACAAATCCTTTTGTTTTTCCACTTAAATCACTACGTATGATTATTAAAAAATAACTCACACACATATATTATAAAACTAATACTAGTGCACATCATCGTATGTATATACATATATAAAATACATACGTACATACATATATACATATGTACATATGTAGTTAAAGCATTTGCACTTTTTCACATTGCAAAACATTTATAAATTTAAAATTTTTCGTGCTAAAAATATACACACACATACATAAACATATGTGTGCATGTTAAATACATAACCTATTATGAATATATGATAATATTTGATACATAAAAAACAACAAGTACACAAAAATAGTATATCAACACACATACAATTATACATACACTTCATAAATTGTATGTTTTCTAATATTTTCTAATGATTTTGAATGCATTTTTCATTAAAAACTACGCTAAAAATACCATCTAGTTTCGTTAGTCTAATATTCAGTTGTATAGTTACATACGTACACGTGTACATACATACATACATATGTATGACTTAAATTTACGATTTGTGATATTGGTGTGTTTCGTTACAGTTCGGAATTACCAGAACTTGCTTATTACAATAGTATCATTTCTGCGCCTACCCTAGAAGTATGTGGACCTTATATGCCTATAATTACACATATACTTATGTACTGCGCACTCGTGTAGACTTTAAAATTCATATACGTTCTTTCGTCAGCCTAAATCATACTTAGTTACATATATCATATATTATATATGGCTATAAGTTAATATATAACTATAATAAAATGTTTTTGTTTTAACTTAAGCGGTTTGGTTTTTGTCCAGTGCTTTGTAATTCAAAATCAGTGGGATACTCTGTAAGCTTTCTTTTTTTCATGCGCTTGAATACGAATTCTCACAAATTACTTTTTTTGTCATGCATTACAGTGTAACTTATCAGGATAATACGCGTGTATATGAATAAAAAAGGTATTGTAAATGTATATATATATATATGTTTGTATATATATTATGGGAATCAGTCTAATTTGGGAATGGATTGTGTCATAATGCACTTAAAGTTTGCTGGTGGATTGGAATTGGTTTAATAAATGAGCTTGCCGAACGTAGTTGACATACATGTACATACATATGTATATAAAAGAACATACATATACAGTTATATTCATAAGATACGTTTTTTAAATTCATAATTCAACATGAATATATACGAATATGCTGCCTCGTATAAATTATTTATGCATTTCCAGGAGATCGATTGAAGAAAGATAAAGAGTCTGAATTTTAAAAGGACTCAAGAAGACTCGATTGAAAATATGTATAAAAAAAGTCGACTAAACGGACTGAAAATAGTTATTTTCGTTATTTTGATTGTATATTTTGAAATGTAGTACAAAAACAACAATAACGGGTTTTTCAAAAGGGACACTACAAAAGTAGACCTATAGGGACATCAAACGACGCCATATTTTTTTTATGCTCTGTTAATATTTTTACGTTACGTCCAATCTATGGTCGTCATAATTGTCCGGTCAGATCAACAATTGAGCCGCTGGTGCAAAAATTTGAATCCACGGGCACAGTACAAAATGTTCTCAGTGTGTGAAATGTAGTGTCGAGAATATTGCTGCCGCTAGCGCATCAATTGAGGAAGACCCAAATCAGTCCCTCACACGACGTTCTCAAGCGTTGGGCATCTCTGTGACGTCGTTGTGGCGAATTTCGCTAAAAGATCTTGGAGAGATCAAATCTTACAAGATCAAATTGACGCAAGAACTGAAGAGGCTTGATCAAGAGAGTCGTTGTATGTTCGTGAATTGGGCTGACCAAAAACTTGAATTTGGACGAAAAATCATCTTCAGTGATGAGGCTCACTTCTGGCTGAATGTGAATCGCTCAATAGTAACCGAATATTTTTGGACCGAATTGGATGATGTGGACTTGGAGAATATGTGGTTCCATTAGGATGGTGCCAGAAGCTACACAGCAAGTGTCACAATCGATTTATTGTAAACCAAGTTTGGTGAATGTCTTATCTCACAAAATGGTCCAGTCAATTGGCCGTCTCGATCGTGCGATTAGACGTCGTTAGACTATTTCTTGTGGCGCTACGTCACGTCCATGGTTTATGTCAACAAGCTAGCGACGATTAATGAATTTCGTACGAATATCGAAAGTGAAATTACGGCAGTATCGGTCGATTTATGCTTGAAAACCGTCAAAAATTGGGTTCAGTGTCGGTTTTTTCCATAATTCAATCGAATGTACTTTCACATTAATAAAGAACGTTTTGTATCGCTCTTATTGGAAAACCCGTTAGATGAAAGATGTTTCGAAATTAGAAAATCTGAAATATGAAATTCTGGAAATGAAGGCTCTTTAGTAACTGATGAGATAATTATTGGCACAGAAACGTAAAAATATGTATGATTTTAGAGCCGTTTCGGAACTGATAGCAAAAAAAAAAATAACCTAAAAATATTTTAAAATTAAAATTTTTAATTCAAAAATAAGATGAAAAAAATACAAAAAATTATATCCTACATTCCGGGGACATGATTAGCTAACGACTAGTCTTTTCTACGCACCAGACTACTTTTACATTTATAGCTCATTTATATACCTACAACTAACAAGTTTATGGGATCAGGTAGTGTACAGGAAAAAAACGAGGTGCGGAGCTTTACCAACAACAATGCAATAATTTTAAACGTGCTACATTTTCCACAGACGGCAGCAGCTTCGCAAAGTTCTATTAATTGGCTTCTCTCCCGCACATAACTTCTCTCGCATCACTCAAATCAGATGAGATTTGCGATTTGCATGTTCAATGGCCGCCAGCAGTTCGTGTTTTTGTCGCACGTACAGTCTACCTTTGCGCCAGGGGTTCTGCAATTGCAATGGCTTGAAGTCATCACGCAAGCAACGCTCACGTGCGCCTATCACTGCCACCAAACAGAAGTTCTCCAGCATATCCGCCGTGTAGATGGGTCCGTTGTTGCCTTTCAGCACTGCCGCCATATTCAGTTGCTTCACCACCAAATTGATTACTTCACGCGCGGTTGTCTTTGGCGTTACATGCAATTTGAGGCTAGTACCGGACGCCAGCCCAGTATTGTATGCAGTGTAGACTTGTATGATACCTGAGCTGGGCGAGCTGCTCAGTGCGGCGGCATTGGCTGCTTGTTCAGAGGTGTGACTGGAACCACTCGCAGTGTCCTCTTCGCTGCTGTGTCGCGAGAGACTTTTTATGGAGGCAGTTTTTGCAGTAGTTGCTGACGCAGCGGCGGTGGAGGCTTCCTCACTGCTGATAGGCTTTACACCGCTGGGCAGTGCAGTATGCGTGGTTTTTAAGTAGAGAGCGCCATCTCGTAGATTTGCGCTTGAAGCAGCCTTCACTTTGCCACCAATGCAATGTTCGACGGCCGTTTGGCTACTGATCTTGGACGTTTTGATGTCATAGTCAGAGCTGGAAGCGGTTTTCAGTGAGAGATTTGAGCCGGTGGGCAAGTAAGGCGCGGAGCTGGAACAATGTGTTGCGGTGGCCAAGGATATTGGCGTCGTTACATGCTGTGTAATGTTGGAACTGGTACGCTTGCGATGCGTGGCTGCGGAATGTGTGTGTTTTGTTCCATCCAAACTACCCAGCGCTAGTGTGTCATCGGAACGTGAGGGTGGTATTGCAAAGATCTGTCCCAGTTCGTTGTTACTGCCCAGCGCCGATTCAACACCCGAGTAGTAGCTGCGCGTTGTGTACTGGGACGAGGTCATTGAGTCACCGCTATTTTTGCGCAACGAAACGTCAGAGCTCGTGTAGCCACCCATACTGACTTGTAGCAATTGTTGCGTACCGGTGGAACTGACCGTTTTACGTGAATCGTTACTGCTATGCGATTTGGTGGCAGACTGTTGCGGCGGTATTATGCTTGCGCAGGAGGTGGGCGTTATAGCACTACGTCCTAGATTTTGTTCGGACTTGGAATGTTCGGCTGCTAAGCAGTTACTGCTGGTGCCCTGTGAATTGGCACCCGGCCCTGGCCAGCTGCCACGTCCGGAACTTTTTGTGTATTTCGCATCGCGTGTTGGTGGTTGTAGCAGCTGCTTATCCACAGTGCGACCCTCCCTGCACTTATCGCTGCTATTGTCATAGGCAAGTATGTCTTTCATGATCTCTGAGGATTGTGCATTTTTGTCGCGTGCAAACGCAATCACGTCCATCAGCCAGCGTACACTCTTCCACACGGCATTCAAGTTCGCTGACAGTTCTTGCAATTTCGCCAAGCGTTCCCTGGCCGTTTGCAGTTCGCTTGTGGAGAAGGCTTCACGTTGCGAATGTGTGGCCAACGCTGTATCTAATTCCAGTATGCAGGAGAGGCGTGCATATTTTTGTATGATGCCAGGTTGGTAAGTGCGCAGGTGTATCATCTCGAAGGCCTGTATGCTCAGACTGGCGAGATCGTCACGTTGCAACAGCAATTCTGACTGTCCCGGCACGGCACAAGCCAGCTCGACGGCGGGACAGATCACTAGAAAGCTAATGTCTTTGCTGTGCTCAATGACTTCGATGTCATACAGACGATGCGTCTTGGCATCCTCCGGCTTTATATTCATATAGGTGAATAATTTATGCGCGGCATTGGTGAGGTCGTAGAGGAATAAACGTTGGCCTTCGGTGGTCTCTTCAGCACTTGTATTGAATTCCAGCGCCATATTCAAGGGACTATTGCTGCGACTGTTGGAACCCGCGGACTTTTTACGCTTCAGTATTTGCCATTCATCGGCAGTGATGTGACTGTTGTTCCGCACCTTGTAATGAGGCAACACATTGGGTGTCTTCACCGGCACCACCACTTGTATCTGGTCCATAGAGCATTGCATTTTCAGATAGCCCAAATATAAGCCTGGACTTAGACGTTGTGTAGACGTTTGATGGTAGTGTATTTGCTCGCTGATGGAGGATATTAACATCTCACTGATGTTGTAGTCCTCCAGCAGTGCAACTATCTTCTTTTGCAATTTATTCAGTGGCAACCACCGCGAGTTGAGTATGGAGACGGTTTTCTGGCTCTTCACAGACTGTATGCAGGTTAAGACAACTGTGCCATGCGAATCGCGTAGTGGTTTGTAGAAAAGCTGTCCCAAGTCATTGAGACCCAACGTCGATTGCATTTGACAAACTGCGGACAGGAGTTTGGTGCGAAAATGTACGGCGGATGTTAAATTTCGCTCCATATCCGTGCGTAATGACTTTACATCGTCCCAGGTGCAGGCAACCTATGTAGAGGGGTTCATTAGAAAATTAAATAATTTAATTTAGTCCAAAGCAGTCGTACTTACTTTCATTAGCCAGTGGTAATCACTATATAAGCTGCTCGGATATGTCTCATCTATCTCGATAACGGGCAAGAAATCTTCACTAGTCACCAGGACTTTGTCCTCACAATAAACGACGCTCGCCAAGTAGATGCCGCTGGTAATGAGAAAAGATAATGAATAATCGTTATTATAAAAATATCTTAGGGTATTCAGGATAATAGTAATGATTTTAGGAAAATTTAATCAAGCTCGGCGTCACTACGGGTGATCTCTACTCTCATACTAAATCGCACATGTCGCCGAGAATACGGGATAAATGAGGAATTAAGCCCAATGTTTTAACTTCCGAGTGGAGAAAAATTGACTAAGGGTTCTCTGATCGACAGTTCCAAAGACGAAATCTTTATTTTCACTGACCGAACAAAGGGCGAAATAGGAAAAGAGTCGGGCCTCTTCTGTAGATCGTAGCCACAAATTTAATGACTACAATTCAGAATTTCAGGAAGAAATTTTTGGTGTAACAGAAGGTGCCAAGGGAGCTTCTGCTCTAACTATTAAGTTCATAAATCTTTTACTGAGCAGCACAGTGGGAATTAAGACCGTCCGTAGCCCCTATACTAAGTTTTACTAGGATAGGTTATGCAAGGACAAGCAAGCTACTCAAGACCATTCAGCTCCTTCAAGGGTTTCATGAAGTAATGAACCCTGGAGGAACATCTCAGGTCTTGGATCATTAGCAACTCAGGGCATACCACAATAATTTTAATGTTGAACAGATCAAACCGCTTCTACTTCTAGACAAGAGGGATTCTCTTCCAGCCAGTTGAGACGGGTGGATATCTTACATGGCTCCCAACGCTCCAACTTGAGTTTGGCGTTTTTTCTTTGAAACCAACTAACTGAGTTATTTTTGCATTTAGTATCTGTCAACACTGAAGCTGGTATGTAAACAAAAAACATGTCCATAGACAGCGAGCGAAACATAAAATTTATATCCAAAGACTGTAGTACTTACCGTCTTAAGTGCTTTTGAAATTTCGATGCCACCGAAAATAGTTGCTTTATCGTAGTCTTTTTTTTTGGATTACGCCGTTGTGCCGCACCGACGTCTAACGTCAACTCTGATACATCTGCTGGTCGCGCCAAACGTACTGCCGTAAAAAGATTGTCCAAAACACGCTGACGTCCCACATAACGATCTTCGCGATTATTGAAATCGCGCCAACCTAACCGGAACGTAAAACAATAACGAAACAAGGAAGAAATTAAATATGGGAAAAAAGAGAGCTTTCCGGCTGAGCTTACTTGATGGCACAACGCTTGCGGGCACAGACGTTTTATACGCGCCCCAACCTTTGACATTGCCACAAGCAGCGCGTATGAAGTAGCGGCGCCCTTGCGTCAAGCCGCCAATCTGTAACTGTGTGCCCATATTGCCGTGGAAACTCGTCCAGTCGACCATTTCGCGTTCGCCCACAATGTTGCTGAAATCCGCACGAGTCGACCATTGCACTGTGCGTGGGTACAACACCCGATTTGTTGGTTGGTATTATGGGGTGTTGTGAGTGGCAGAGTTTGTTGTTTTTGGTTTAGGGGGATTTGCGGTGTCCAATTTGTGGTGCGCCAAACAAACAATGTTGAAAAATACATAGAAAATAAAATACATAAATAAATGAAAATATCGAAAGTAAACAAATCAGTTGCAGCACATAGCTACGGTTGGACGAGCAGAGGCCAAAGCATACAGAGAGTCAATATTACTGCGACCGACTCGACGAGGCAACAATATCCTCACTTAACTGTGCGCATTCATATTTTGTTTACCCTTGAGTGCAGGTTTGCTGTCATTTTTTACTCTCTTTTTTGGTTTTTTGTTTTTGCTTCGCTTACCTTTGAATTTCGTGGCAATTGCACCTTCGAACGGCTCGAGTATTTGCAGCGCTATCGAGTTGTCGCCCGTCACATCCACCGCCACCGAGGCGGGCGCATCCGGTGGGCGCGTCTGATCCCAGCCGAGCAGCAGGCGTCGCAAACCCTTCACGCGTCGCTCCCAATTGCCGATTTGCTTCTCGATTTCGTTGCCTGTGCAGCCGGTCACGGAGGAGCCAGTGTTGCCTGTCGCAAGCGTACAAATAAATAAGTAAACAAATCATTCAATGAATCAATGAACAAATGAATGCACAAATGAATGGCGGTTTGGAGGGGTGGGGCGTGTGGATAAACATACACACAGACATGCAAACAAAAAGTGTTCTTGTAAATATGCAATTCTAGTCTCAGCATTTCAATTGTTTATTTGGTCTGCCTTACCGCTTCGGTGTCCAGTGTCGAGTGGCGCTGCTGATTGCATTTCATAGTGGTTCCGGGTAACGCCACACTGTGTGTAAATATTATTCTTATTGCGTTGTTGTATGCGTGCTCATATTTTTCAATTATGTTTGAGATCATTCAATGCTGGACATGATCAGCATGACAAATAATTGAATAGCAGAGTAGTGAGTGTATCTATCATGTTAAGTGGCATTTGTGGACGAGTGCAGGCCACGTAGCATAAAAGAATAAATTGTGGCACATTCGTAACGGGTGAGAAGATTTATTTTAAGAAGATATGTATATTTGTAAATCTCTTTTTGAGTCATTAGAGCCTGACAACACGCAAAACGAACAAAGAGCTGGTACAAGTGCTGGTATAATTAAATAAATTTGGAATGTAAAATTCTTGACCTCATTTAAGACTTATGCACAAATCATATTCATATCGAATTAATGCCAAAGAGGGACAGGGTTAGAGAGCAGAGAAAAGGTGAATCGATGACACAAGCTTTCTTGTATTGAATTTAATTACATAAGCGAGTAGAATCCAAAAGGACTGAATAGAGAACGAACTTTTGAATTTGATCGGAAATAATTTAATGATTTGACAGTACCTTCCAATTAATATATGGTGTTGAAAAAGTTTTTCTAAAGTTAAAAACCAATTTAGAAACCAATATTTAGATGCTTGGAGCTTACATTACCAAGTTTGTTTGAGTTTGTTTGAGTTTCTATTTGTTGTGTAAATCATGATCTGATCCTACAAAATGAAACAAAGTGCAATTTTTTGGCCGGGTTCGAAAACCTAGTTTTGCTTAGAATTTAGAAATGTCCTACCAACGGCGACTTCGAAAAATAAGGGATCGACACACTTCCTTTTCCCCATTCTGTCTAGTGTTCACTTCTAAGCATGTACAAACTTTTCACGTGTTAGATAACCGGAATGAATATACCGTACAAGTAATATATATACCTAGTAATATACCCTACAAGCAAACTATCGGTTAAGTCATCGGTTATTTACAAAACGCTTATAGTTGCTATAAGTCTCTTGCGGTCCAATTGACAATTCTAACCGAAACTCTACCAATCCAATGTGTCATACAATATAGTGTTGGAAAGGTGAGTTTTAAGCTTCATTTAACAAGAGAAAAGTGTGCAACTTTATTTTTTTTTGGTTAAATGAAGCTTAAAAAAAGTCGCGAAAATTATAGAAGAGATTGACCAGGACCGTCACATAAGCAACCATGACATCGCTAAGGAATTTAACATGCATGATCAAACGGTTTTGAACTATTTAATATGAATATGAATATATGAAAAGGCCGATGTTTGAGTACCACATGAATTGTCTATGAAAAATTTATTAGACCGAATTAACATCTGCGATTCTTTCTGAAGCGAATGGTAACAGGAGACGAAAAGTGGATCAAATTCGACAATAATGTGGGAAAAAGATTATGGTCCAAGCGTGGTGGAGCTCAATAAATGGTCTCACAAGCGAAAGGCTACGCTGAAGCTTTATTAGAAATACGAAAACACTTTTTCGACTACCAGTATTTAGTATGCAAAAAATCAAACCGATATATTCATATTTATTAATATCCATTTAATCAGAATTAAAAGCTAAAAATAAATAAATGTCATTAAAATTGTCCTTGATTGCTTAGATGGATTACACTTTCATTAATGCAGAGTAAAGTTCAAAAAAACTTTACAATGACATAACTATTCCGAACACGTCCCACTTCCCAATTACTTGTGCACTTAAGCGTGCATACATTTACACACACACACACACACTTGCGAATAATTTTCCAACTTCAACTCAAACAATAGTTGCAAATTGACTTTAAAAGTGTGATGAGAACTCACCAATAATAATACTGGATATGGACGGCCGTGATGCAAATGTGGGCTGGCAAAGCCCACCATCCGATGTGCCACTCAAGTCCTGTATACGAGACTCAGCATCTTTGAGCAGACCATTCAGCTTGTTTCCGATGGTATCTGAGGAAACTGAAAAAGCAATAGAATCCAATTAGAATAATGGGTGTAAATAAAAAAATAAATGTATGGCAAATTAAAAATTGTTTAAATGTGAAAGTACTTTTAATAATGTTTAAGGAAAAAATTATAAAATAAAATAATTTTTTTAATATGTTATGTTTAATTTTGATTTATTATTATTAATTTTTTGAAACCCTAAATGTATGCCTCTCGTATATTAACGGTTTTAAAACCATTATTTTCAAAATTGTTGGCCTACATTTAGGAGTACGTTTATAAAGCATGAAGAAATAGCAAAAAAATAGCAGTATATTTTGATTTAAATTCTACTTACATTGTGTGCCCTCGATTGCGCCATGTTGCAGCAACATTTTGGTCATCGAGCGATTGTTGCTGAGGACAGCAACATCCAAAGCTGACAGGCCATCACTGTTTATGCTGTTGTTGTTAGTATTTTTGTGATAAAAAAAAAACCGAAATGAGAAAAAGATATATATGTATAAATTAGCCAATATAAATATGAAAATATAATTGAAGTATATTTCTATATTACTATATTAGGAAGCATCATTTAGAGATACATATATTACTACTACATAAAATTTAATAATTAATTTGGTGGGTAATAATATTTTAGATAAATTTCATCATTGTTTCGTTTTCTGAACTTCATTACTGATCAATATTTTATAGCTTTGTCATCTTCTCGCCTCAACCACCAAAGTAAAAACAACCTCTTAAAAGCGAGTCCTCTAAAGACCACTGCATATAGGAGTATAAACTTTAAACAGTATGTCAAATATTGGAAACTGCCTAGGATCAAGCACACGTGTATGTAAAAGAGTTTCATAAACGCTTTGACTATTTATGGTCAATTGACAATTACATTCTGACAACTGACGCATGTCAATCTTTTGGGCTGGCTGACAGACATTACCTACAAGTACTAAGTTTTGGCAGAGAGACAGCTACGTGCGGCTGAATTTTGCTATTGTTGATTAAAGCCAAACCGAATATATATGCCGTAACCAGTTGCAATGTTAACGTTTACAAAGGGATCGTCAATATTTGTGACTGAAATATTAGTGCTGCATATGGCAGCACTATCCAATTGGGATGTTTATATTCGCTTTGGTTTACATTAAGGGAGAAGAAATTATACCGAAATTTTTATTATTTTTTGTGTAGAAACTAATACTATGCTGTTTTCTATCACTCCAATTTAATTAAGGGGTTTCGCAGAGATGAGAGGCACCGTAGATCCTGATATACGTCTAATAGACGTTCTATTTGGAAAATTCATCAAAACTAACGCGTGATCTAAGTAGAGGTCCTTTTTTCAAGTCGGGTCAAGCTGTCATGTTATTTTTGCTCAGTATAGTTTGGCATTTCATCAGGGAAAGACCTATGCCTCAGCAACATTTGCAAATCCTTCAACTTTATTACGATAATTCACGTTCTGTAAAGAATGTGTTTTGAGCGCTTCATACAACTTATAATCAACATAATCGGCCTTCCGAGCGTACTATTCGCAAGACCATCACCCATCTTTAGAGCCAGCATTCATTATTGGATAATATTCGTCGGAATAGACCACATCTAGTACGCACGCCGTGGTATCGATTCCGCATCGTTCGCAGCACTCAGAATGGTGTATGGAAACACTTTGCGCATTTTACGTAGAGATATTAAATTGAAAACAAAAAAAAAATGCAACTTTTGCAAGAACTGTAGTCGCTCGACCTTCCCAAGCGGCTCTATAGGGCCTTAAAAAGTTCCAAGAAGATCGGATGTTTTTGTGCCAAATTTTGTTTAGCGACGAGGCTCAATGAGTATGTAAACAAGCAAAGTAGCCGAGATTCAATAGCTGCCATTTTATTTAGCAAAAAAAAAAAAAAAAATAAAATGGTTTGGTGTGGTTTGTGGCCCGGTGGAATAATCGGTCCATATTTCTTCAAAAATTATGTCGGTGAGAACGTAATCGTCAATGGCAACCGTTATCGCGTCATAATAGCCGACTCTTTGATGCTTGAAATTAAAGCTCGTGATCACGGCGATTTTTGGTTTCAACAAGACGGTGCCACTTATCACACATCGCATCAATCAATGGATTTATGGAGAGAACACTTCGATAAGAAGATAATTTCACGTTTTGGGCCCATCGTTTGGCTACCATGATCGTGTGATAACACACCGTTAGACTTTTCCTGTGGGGGTATATAAAGTCTAAAGTCTATGCAGACAATCTCGCTTCGATTCAGGCCTAGGAGCAAAACATCACGCATGTCATTCGCCTGTTACCAATCGAAATGTTCGAATGAGTAATGGAAAATTTGACTCCACCGATGATACGTAGCCCCGGCCAACATTTGAAAGACATAAACTCTGAAAAAAATTCATATAATGTTCTTTCAAATGACAATAAACCTTCTCCATTAAATTTGAAGTTTCTGTATTTTTTATATAAAAAATCAGGGAATCTCGAAATGGATCAYCATTTAAATAAATAAAGTTGAGTAATTCAGAGCAATGCGAAATGTTACATACCTATTGACATCCACATCGGTTGATTCCAGAATGGTGCGCGCTTTGTCGAGATGCCCATGTTCGACTGCCGAAAACAGAGCTACAGAGAAAAAGGTAGGTTAGTCAATCATACAAAAAAGTATACAGGAATATGTATGTGTAAAATAGAATACATGCCAAATTTGTTTTTTAAGGTTAGTGAAAGCGCAGATTTCGTTGCACAAAAGTCGCACAACAACTGGCGGAGAAGAAGAAGCAGCAGCAGGTTAAATACCCTTACATGTTAGTTTAGCAAGCTTATACGTTAATTCTTACAGCTAAGTTAAATTAAAAGATTAGTGGAGATTACTTTGTATTTGTTTATTACTAAAAGCGCATTGCCTACTTTTAGGCTAGCCTACCATGTTGATGTAAATTGATCTGATTCAATTTGTCCAGTTGCGCCTGAGCCAACTTTAATTGTTTCTTCGACATTTTATTGCGATACGGCGTGTTGCCGCAATTGCCAGCGCCGACGTTGGTGGTAAGACTATCGCTACTTAAACTGCCGTCGCCGTTGTTTTTCGTACGCACAAATGCCGAATGGCGGTAAATGGCTAAGTTCGGCGGTTTTAGTGCCAACTCCATTGATTCGTTGGCGTTTATTTTCGGTTGTTTGGCCGTTAGCGGAGCCTGCGGTTGTGCGGCCACAGAGTTGCGCGCTTGACGTGCCACACTCAGGCCACTGCTTGGACCATTGCTGCGCTGCTTGTCCGCAGTCATTCTCAAAATTTTATTGCTATTGCCGTCGTTCTTATTGTTGTTGTTGTGATGACTGTTATTGTTATTATTGTTGTTGGCACTTAATGGCATTGTTGTTGCCATTTTTACGGCATTTCTTGCTAACGCTGTTGCTGTTRTTGTTGTCGCTGCTGCTGCTGCTATATTATTTACACCCGTTTGCGGCAATAGAAATTCCATTTCACGCAAATCGTTGGACGTACACGAGATGGCCGTGCGTATCTTGGCTACAGCCACGTTTGGTGTCCATTGCTCAGACCAACGGAATGTATTTGCGGCATCACAGCCGTTATCGTCGCTATTATCACCGTTCAGCTGTATTGAGTTGTTGTTGTTATTGCTGTTATTGCATGGCGCACGTAACGCGCTGTAGTATTGTTCTTCGTGGTTATCACTTCTATTGCGATTGTTATGGTTATTGTTATTACTACTACTGTTGTTATTATTGTTATTGCTACTGTGCTTGCTGGGCGTAGACGCTGCACGTCTCAACACCACAACGCTGTCGGCATCTGCATCGACAAAGCCGCCGTTGTCATTATCAATGTCAGGTGTGTTATCAATGTAGTAGTAGCTACTGCCTACACCACCACTATCTTCATCTTCTTCTTCCTCCTCTTCTTGTGCTTCTTCACGCCTATCGGCACGCGCTTTACGCCAACTCGCACGATTGAGCGTTAAACTATGCGGCTGAATATTGTCTATGTGGGCACAAAGCAACGAATTCATTGTGCCGGAGATAACGAAAAGTAAGAAATAAGAAATGAGAGTATGTTTAAATAGAATCTCTAAAAACTATAAAATTATAAGCAATTAAATTGGCGCAATGAAATGATAAGAGTAAAGCGAAAATAAAAAGCGGCGACAGAAACAAAAATTATAATAAGATTGGTAAAACATAAGTAAAAGAATGAAAACACTAAACCAGGTACAGTTAGACTTCCAAACCACAACCTAACTTCAGCAAAAAGTTGATTTAGCAGATAGAAAGTAGTCGTACATTCATACATATATGAAAATAAGTTTGTTTGGATGGAAAATTAAGTATAATAAATTTAGAGCCGCTTTTCAATGTCTGGTTAGCAGTCATCTGTCAGTTAAATTTTGTTTAACTTAACCAAGACTCTCTCTTTTGGTAAATTATATTTTTTTTATACAGAACTTAATTTAAACTTTACCTGTTAATTTAACCGGTTAACTTAACCAGAACTTAACTTAAACTTAATTTAACCGGTTAACTTAACCAAAATTCTTTCTTTTGTTTAAAGAATATTTTTTTTTACCAGAACTTATCTGACAGTTGGCTGCCAGCCAGACATTGGGAAAACGGCTCTTAGTCCGTCAAAAGAACAGTAGAAAGCAAGCAGTTGCATAATTGCAACGTCATTAAGCGATTTTAGGTATAATTTAATTCAAGAACTCAGTTTAAGATTGGTTTATTGTTTTGCCCAAAAACACCAAAGGCAGTTGTAACTGCTATATGTGAAAATATATACAACGATCTTTTCTCCTCGATGAAATTGAGTCAGCAAATAGCGACTATAAGCGCAAGTCAAAATTGTGGGGTTACATGGGTTTACGGCTTTTAAAAAATCAAATTTATTATCTTATTAAATTCTAAAACACCTCTAGAAGATTCTACTAGACTTTCAAGTTGCTCTGGGTAATAGTTTCGGAGATACAGCCTTGGTAACTTGTGCGCTCGAGACTAGCTAGGCTAAGTGTGCCGCCTTTAAAGGCGTTTTTCTCGAAACTGTGTTTTTAAAGTCGGTTGGTAAGATTTCTCGAACACTAATCAACGGATCTTCATGAAATTTTACTCAGGCTTTTTAGATACAATTCTTAAAGGTTTGGACAAAGTATTTTTTTCGATTAAAACTATTACCACACGTACAAAAAAAAGAATGTCGCGAAATTTTCACTGAAATTTTAATTTTTTTTTTTTAAATCMAATTTTTAGTTTGTTTTCCTTCGTCCAAGTTCTAAGTTAAGCTTTAAGTTTTAACTAAAACACGTATTTTTCACTTTAGATGATCCTGTAAGGAGTTATCCTGCCAACGCGGCCGGACCTTTTTCGAGGGATCACTGGAAATGGCGTCGCAACGACCGAGTTTAAAATATTTTTTTTTTCCAAAAATTTCAAAATTTCTTCGTTAGTAGTATATTTTTAACGATCCAAATGAAAAATTGCAGAAGAATAAACTTAAATGAAGATCGATTTCAGTTGAAAAGGATAGATGTAAATAAATGTATATGATAACAGCAAAAGACAAAATTTTTTAATATGTTATATAAATGTTTTCTTCCATTTCTCAGAGTTTAGACATCAAATCTCCCAAATAAGCTATTTTTTATTACCATAAACGAGTTAAAATTGATATATAATTTGGCTTAAAAAATCGGCGTTTTGAGATCGCTCTTCGATATTTGTTTTCAGAAATTCGAGTTAAGTTTTTTGTTATTAAAGCTAGAAAATTGTGCCGAAATATGATTTAAAAACAACGTAACTTTGACTGTTAACTGGAAGTAAAATAAAAAAGGAAATATTTTATATATTTTTATATTTTTTTTCCTAAAAAACCATAAAAGTATTTTAGAAAAAAATTTTCAAAAATATGAATAAATAATATTTCCCCGAATAATCATTTATTTTTCTTTAAAAAGTAATAAATTCTCCCATTTTCTCACTGTGTGCAATTAATCTTGGACTTAATACCCCATCAATTTATAAGTGAAGGAATGAACCATTTATAAACAATAAGGCGTGAACGTTTTGAAGCCACTGTAGCAATACAATGACATAAGCAAAGCGCAATCCACAGCTTGCCCAAATGAATGACGTATGAGTAGAATATTTTCCTTATTTGCTTGATTAGTTGTAATTAAGTACCTATGTATGTATATATAATATATATATAATTTAAGGTGCATGTTTGTGGGCTTGTGTTAAATTAATAATATGTATGTATGTATGTATGTGTGCGCATTTGAATGCAATGCATTTATGTAGATATGAGCAATTCAATTTAATCGATGAACAATGCGGTTGCCAATTAAACCCAAAACTCCACACCATTTGCTTGTAACGGAAACCAACTTCTTCTAGTGAAGTGGATGAATACCATAATAATAGTATGTGGGGTAAATGAATATGTCAAATTTTATGTGGAATAAGGCCGAAAGCGTAATCATGAGCATGTAACTTGTGATTTATTGGCGTGTGAGTGCTTTGGTTAGCGTGAATGTTTCTTTTTAATATATTTTCTTATTAATAATGGTTTGCTATTTTTATTGTTGTTTGTAAAATTCGACTTTGTACCACTGGCATTTGCTCATTATGGGTACTTCTCCTTACCGTTCCAGGCATGCGCGCTTGTCCGCGTCTGACCCTTTTTCGTCGCCCTTGACGCACGGACATCGCAGCTGGTAGTTTGACAGAAACGACTCAACTCGTTGAGCGTGTGAAAGGACTTTTGACGTAATAGTGCGCCGGGCGAACGCAGACAACCGCCAATCGGTAGATTCTTGAAAGTTTTACTTTCATTATTATAACACCTGCAAAGAATATATGAGTCGGTAGGGGGATGTGTAGATTGACTTCGGTTTACAGTTAAAGAGAGATATAGAATAAATCAAAAAATCTTATGAGAATAGAACTTTGTACTATAGTAAAATCAGGAATGGATACTAGCACAAATCCAAAAGGTTAACTTTCGGCAGATTTAGCTTCTCTGTGTAAAATATGATTAGCTTCATTTTCAAAATATATAAATAAATATTTAGAGGTAAGATTTTCGTTTATGACTAATAAGGAGATTTTTTGTTTTCCTAATCAAATTTTCTATGGAAAATGTGTGTGAAAAAAGTGGTTTTCCGTCGAGTAAGTTCTAGTAGCTATGCGGCTAAATTATGCGCAAAACATTGCCTACATTTCGGCGCGATATAGTAACACTTTGCTATCCAATATAAATAACCAAAATTTTAACAAAAAAAGATCAGGTCAACAGCTGACTTCAAATTAATATATAACAAGAAAGTTTTATTTATGTAAGTTTGAATAGTACTCGTAAGGCAAGAATTAATGCCGTAGAAATTAATTGAGGTCAATATAAGTAGTACAATTTCTTGAAAAGTTTGTTTGAGATTAAATAATAAGAAGATTGAGTTCAGTAGAAACCAATCTTCGCCACCAAGGCGCAACTGAGCCTTCGTCAAGTCATGAAAAACTCCAAGAAGATCGGACGTTTTCGAACTAAATTTTGTTCAGCGCTGAGACCAATTTAAGTATAACTCAATGGGTATGTAAATAAGCAAAATTGTCGCATATGAAGAGCAACCGGCAGAGATCCAAGAGTTGCAATTTCATCCAGAAAAACCAACGGTTTGGTGTGGTTTATGAATCGGTGGAATCATCGGTCCATATTTGGTAATGATACCGGTGAGAACGTAGCCGTCAATGGCGACCATTAACGCGCCATGATAAATGACTATTTGAGGCCCAAAATTGAAGCTCGTGATTCCGGCGACATTAGACTTTAATCAAACGGCACCACTTCCCACACATCCCATCAATCAATGGGTTTATTGAGAGAACAATTTGGTGAGCAGATAATTTCACGTTTTTGACGGGACAATCTCGCTTTGATCCAACCGTAAAGCAAAACATAACGCGTGTTACCAGTCGAAATGCTCGAACGAGTCATCGAAAACTGGACTCAGCGAATGGACCATCTGAGATGGAGCCGTAGCCAATATTTGAAAGAGATAATCTTCAAAAAATAAATGTTAAAGTATTTTCTTACGTATGATAAAAAACATTTGCAATTAAATTTGAATTTTCTGTGTTTTCACTTCTGTGGATCACTTCTTCAAATTATTCACATCGTTTCACAATATATTAAAAGTCAGCCACTTGAGTTCCAGCGCTTGAAACTATTATGACACAGAGAACACCCACTCACGCACACACAAACACACAAAAAATAACTGCTACTTTTTCATGTAACGCATCTACCGAATTGCACTCGTATTGTATTGTATTGTATTGGGACACCTACGACTATTCAGGTACGGCACCGGTTTTCTTATTGTTGCCGTGCGCATACGCGTTGTACCATAAATGCCATCGCCAGCGATTTGCAGTAGATTTTTCTCCTCGAAATTCTGCTCTTGACCGTCAGACATGGTCATCGTGGCCTGCACCGCTATATCCGCCCAATGTGACGACTTTTGATTTGCTATTGTCGTAGTTGCGGTCGCTTGCAACGCTGCCGCCACTGTCACTGACACTTTTCCAGCGGCTTTCAAGTCCACACTGCGCTGCTGTTCACTCAGGTATTTAAGGCAGTAGGACTCGGGTATTTGTAGCAATTTGCATGCTTTGCGCGGTACACGTAACTGGGCGGCTAAAAAGTTCGGCTCTGCCGCGCGTCCACTCAGCGGCAATCCCGCCATGAGCCGTTCAATTTCCGCCGTTTTACATTCGTCACGACGCATTGCAGCGCCGCATTCTTGCGATTCCCGTAATTGCCGCGTTGTTGCGGCTGCCACGGCAGCATCATCTGCAGCCACTTGATTGACATGTCGTAGGCGCTGCATTGGTCTTGTCAACGCCGCAACCGCATCCAGTTCGTCGAGCAGACGCGCTGCTGTTGCTGTTGTTGTTTTGTTGGCGGCTGTCGCGTTATTGCTGCACTTGCGTGTACGTAAACTCAAGTGGGTGTGCAATTTGAATGGTGATTGAAAAGCGTTTTGCCGCGTCTGATGCAGTTTGTCTTTGAGCAGGCGGAAGGAGGCGCGCATCGAGCGCGAACGTTGCAAGGAGGTGAATGCAGCGTCACTGACTGGCGGTGGTGAAGCGGTGGCATCGATGAAGTCACTCTTGGTTGGTGTCACATCAGAATCACTCTCCTCTGCGCCGCTTTGGTGGTGGTGCATGAGATTTTCTTTTTGTTGTTGTTTGTGTTTGTGCTGTCGTCGTGCATCCTTTTTATGACTGATCAATTTGACATAAGCGCGATTAGCGCGACGACGTTCCATTGTTTTTTGTATTAAAAAGGGTGTTCTACTTCATTGAAATCACAACATAAATGTACTTTGAAGGCAAGAATGTAACAATATCACAGTTTGTTTTGTGAACTAAATGAAAATTCTTAAATAAACACGGCGCGCACGAAATCGCCGTTAAAACCGGGGCGCGCATGCGCTATGAACGATAATTTCCACCAGAAAATCACACACAATAAACTCGGATGTGTTTGAAAAACAAGCGACTCATATGTTATAAAAATCGAAACTAAATCTGCGCTCAGGCTGGCAAGCGTTTCAACCCTCGGCTGAGAGACTTCATTTGCTACTCAGTCAGCGGGGAAATCAGTGAGTCATTAACTTCATATGTAACCTTCAGTGCGCATATGTATGTATGTGCTGAAGTGTAATGTGCGCTTAGGGTAGGTATGCGTCCCCTTTGTTTTAGGCGCTCTCTTCTCTGCTCTCTCATTTCAAACTTGCTTAACGCCTAATGCGTGGCAAAAACAAAACAATTCAAGACTCTCTAACATACAATTTAGCTTGTAGTTTTACCTGTGTCTATAGATGTCCCTGAAATATTTCAAAACAATTGAATACATTCAAATTTAAACGAATATGAATAAGTCTCAAACTCCCTGCCACAAACACATATACTATATAATTTACCTGCCCGCTTCTGTGAAAAATTAGTTCAATTACCCCATTTTTATACCATTTGAAGTGGAGAGGAAATTTTCATTGATGCAGTGGTAAATATTAGTGGGAATTTGTTATACACTGTGAGAAATCGCATGGTAAAATATTTTTATAATTAAAATTATATAATCAAAAAATCGAAATTGACTTTTTCATTGCTTATACATAATTTACTACATTATATTACATATATGTACCATAAAAATTTCAGCTTCCGCTGTCAGATATAAGCAATTTATAACTAAAACTTTGTTCCAAAATGAGTTTAGTATAACCAATTTATAACCAAAACTCAAATTTTGTTTGATATGAATAGTTCTGTTATAAACTTGTGAAAAGTGATGTTGCGTTATTTTCATTTTAGGTGACAACATAGTAATATTCTTCAGTAAGTGAAATAGAAATAATAATTATGTTGTATGAAAGGGATGACTAATGATCTTATGTTGTCATGAACCCACGAAGACCTACACAAAAAGAGCGTTTGTGTGAACCATAGCTTATTTTATGATTAAGATCTCTTTTTTCTTCTAATTAACTTCGTCCATCATCTTTCTCATGTATTGCTTGATAATCAAAATTATTGTTTATTGAAAATGTTATTATCTTTTTAGAAAAAGATTAGAGTTTTGGCTACAAATAAATTCAGAAATTTAATTTCACTGCATTTTTTGCATAAATTTAAATAATCGTCATCGTGTGTTTTGGATAAAACTGCTGGTTTTACATTTTTATTAAAAACATAGAAGATTTGCTGATATCCTACAGATATCAAAGGAAAGTATTGATCTTACGCTTTGTCCAATGTGGACTCATATTCAACCATCCATCGTGCCTACAACAAGCGCTTGAAAAGCTACGCTGCTCCCGTAGCATTTCATTTTGCTATTGCTACCGCTCTCACTTTGTCTGGAGCCATAGCATTGCCATAGCAGAACAATGTAAGAGTATGTACTCTGCTCTGCTCGGAGTTTTGTTAGATAAAAAACTATAGCTGTAGAAATAGTCAAAAATTAAGTGCTGTGCTCTGCTCATGGTAACGTGCTAGACATGGGAGAGCTGTAGCACATGAAAACTTTAATTAGCTCTGCTCTTCCAATTTTTTGCTACCGACACGCCAGAGCGAAACGAATGATGGAAAAAGCCTTCGGTGATAATTATTTGTCGCGACCAAATATTTTGATTGTTACAAATTATTGAAAGAGGGTCAAGAACGGGTTGACGACGAAACACGTTTAGGACGACCATCAACATCAAATGATGATCAACACGTCATTAAGACAAAAGAATTGGTGTTTAAAGATCAAGGATAAACATTCAGAAATCTTATTGGCAACGTTGGAATATCGAAAGGATTAGTGAAAACTATTTTGAAAGATCATTTGGGCCTAAGAAAAGTGAAAGCACGATTGGTTCCAAAATTACTAAATTTTTCGCTAAAAAACAGTATCGAGTCAACGTCTGTGAAGCAAATCTTTGCGACCACCAGGATGTAATGAAACGTATTACTACTGACGATGAATCTTGATCTGTACTTACTCGGCCTGATATTGTGGTAAAAGTTAGCCGGGTGTTATGCATTGTGTTCGCGAAGCTATTCGTGAAAAGAAACCGGAATTATGGGCCGACAGCTATTGATTTTTGCGCCACAGTAATGCACCGTCGCATACTGCATTGATTTTTCGTGAGTTTTTCGCCAAACTTTCAACCGAGGATTGCAAAAAACGTAGGCACAAGTATATTGGGCCAAGTGGGATTACTTTGACTGGGACAACATAGATTTTGAAGAATAAATTGAGAATTTCATAATTGTGAACAAAGTCTTACTATTTTTTGGCCATAATAGTATATGTATGTTAAGTATTTATTTTCCAGTGCAGCTAGCTTCAAATTAAAGTTCTATTTATTAGCACAAAATCACATTCGTTCAATAAAACAACATATTCAATACAGTCAACTAGGTAACTAATCCCTTAAATTGGTAAAATATGCATCCATAAATAAACAAATGAATATATGTATGCATTTGTGTACATTCCCATTAATATATAGCAGCCTGTACACAAATATGCTTCACATAATCTATAAATAACCATCAATATATGCCATTATACACATGTTTGTATGTATAAATGCAGACTATTTTCATTAACAATCAGACTGTGTAAATTGCTCGATCATTTAGTCAAATAAACATAAACACACACATACTATACTATCTAAAGAGTACACATGTATGTGTTGAGCTGTGTATACTGTGATAATAATCGGCAAATCACAAGCGTCTTGTCTGCGCTATAAACGCTTCATAATTCATATTAATTTCAGTGCAATTTCAGAGCGTTTAAGAGCAGCAGCCAGTCAAAATCAATTCAAATGTATTTATACTGCAATCGTGTACACATACATATATATGTTTATAGCTATATGTGTGTGTGCTCGTATGCTTGCAGTCTGTTTCCTTTACTAAATTTGCTTTATTATTTAAGTTAATTGCAATTTCCTTATTCAAATCAGACAGCACAGCTGGTGCTGGTCCTCGCCAGTTCGTCCACGACACACACACACACATGCAAGCATATTTTACTAATACTACCATGCAAATGTGTGAACTGAACTGAAGACAGACTGGAGTCATAATAGTTGGAGGCGTTTTTGGGGTGAACGAAGGTCATGTTTATGTTTTTCATTAAGACATGCACAGTTTAACTGAGATTGTTCGCTTTACTTTACTTTTATAGCTGTTCGCAGTACAGGATGTGTGTATACTCTATATAATATATAAATGTATTCAAATGCATATATACATAGATTTAGAGTTGTAATCTTGAACAGGGGTATATTAAGTTTTCCCCGGAGGTTTGTAATAACCAGAAGGAAACGTCGGAGACCCTATAAGGGTGATCAGCGTGACGAACTCAGTCGATTTGGCCGTCTCCATATGTCTGTTTATACGCGAAATAATCTCTAAGTATTTTAAGATAGCGTTAAGAAGTTTTGCGCACATTTTGTTATTCTCAAGACGCTGCTCATTTGACTGCTATAGTATATATTATATGTAGCTGCCATACAAACTGACCGTAGAAATCAAGTCCTTGTATGGAAAACTTTTTTATTTGGCAAGATATTTTCACGAAATTCGACACAGATTATTGTCAAAGATAGCTCCACAATCTCCGAGTAAATTTTTAAAATCAGACTACTGTAGCATATAGCTGCCATACAAACTGAACGATCAAAATCAAGTCCTTGTATGGAAAAATTTTTTGGTTGACAAGATATCTTCCTAAACTTTGGCATAAATTCTTGTCTAAGGTAGCGATATAATCTATCAAAAAAATTTTCAGATCGAACTGCTGTAAAGTAGAGCTGTCATACAAACTGACCGGACCTTGTATGGTAAACTTTTATATTTGAAACGATTTTTTCATGAAATTCAAAGCAGATTATTATCAAAGGTAGCGCCACAATCTCTGAATTAATTGTTCAGATCGGTCTACTATAGCATATCTAGGCTGTCTTAGATATGCTATAGTAGACCGATACAATCTCCGAATATATTGTTTAGATTGTACCACTATACAGCAGCTATATGCGGCCATACATTTTGTTTTAAATGTGAATTTTAGCTTCGGTGCAGCCAAAGTTAATATATTTTCTTGTTTTCTATTACCTATATGACATACATACACATATAAAAAAATGAGATAAAAATGTGTAGTAAGTATCCGCCGCTAGTTTTTGCTCTTTACTTGTCACATCATCGTCTTACATTTATTTAATAAGAGTGAAAATTCAACGGAAACACCAATTGGACTCGCTTGACGTTGCGCTTAAGCCAATCTGTGTAGTTCCTCTAGCTAAGCAATCGTAAGCCACCCACATTCAAGTTTTCACAGTTTACACAGGAGAGCGGATAAATTTGATTTACAGCAATGCTATGCGGACATATGCACATACACACATATACATTTATGTTTCTTTACATAAGCATGCATATATGTACGTACATATGTATATAGTATATATGGCAGTTGAGTCGTGACTCCATAATCTGCTCGGCGATTATGCAAATCCAGCCTGTAACACAGCATTTCAACAGCATAAGTTGTCTCCCTAACGCCCTCTCATCAGCTGTCTACCTATCCATGAAGTTGCTGCCATGCATCCAAGCATACTATATGTATATATGAGTACATACACACACACTGACAAATCTTTCGGTCATTTTACAGCTGAAAAATCTCAGTCAGTGGACTGTGCGGGTTTCGGGTTTCGGGTGTCGGCGCGTTGAAAGGATTTTTGTTTTATCA